ACGGTTGCTGGTGAGGTTGGGTGGGGCGGGAGGGCCCCCTTCACCCTCTGGGGCTCCAGGGCTTGCATTGGCATCTGGGGCAGACCTGAGGGAATAAGGGACAGGGGTTGGGAAGACTCTGAGGTTTCCTCTGCACCACTGGCTCTGCATAGGCTCAATCAGACACATGAGAATGTTCAGCCCCTCTAAACAAATATTATATTATAATAATTTTACATTAAATTCCTAGGATCAAAGCACAACAATGTATGAATAAACAAATTAGAATTGGGCCTCAATTCAGGCCATGGTGCAATTAAAGCTCATTAAAATAAGAAACTGTAAATGAAATTTGCCATAAAAGCTTAGTTTTCTTTAATTATACACACTTACCTTACATCACATTAAATTACGTTTACAGGTGCAAGTGTGCAAATTAAAAAGTGTGAGGCGTTCTGAGGTTCTATAAGGCTCCCGAAAATCAAAACAAAAAGGTCTTATAGTTTTACATGAAAATAAATAAATAAAATAATAATAATAAAATAAAATAAAAATCAACCGTGTTTTGTTTTCAAACATTTTAGTAAAGTTAGTCGGATTACGTTAAATACACGCTTGCTAACAGAAGTCCCGAGGTAACCATAGCAACTGTAGTTGTTCGATAACTTTGTTGCGATTAGCAAGACTTTAGATAGACAAAACACAATAATAAAGAACTTATGTGCTTTGTTTAAAACGCATTGCCGATCATTGATGCTGTGATAACTGTGTCATGTGGGCGACAAAAGTCAATCTGGATTGTGCGAGACGAGCATTAACGGCATGGGTCGCTTAAATTACTGAAGGGCATCGAATTAAGTGCAGGTACATTTTGTGTATGGACCATGATTTAAATACGCCTCTCGATGCAGTTTCCCCTAAATTCCGATAGATGGAGCAGGGCACTAAAGTCTACGCAATTTTTGATGTATCAGCTTAAAACCCGAGAGATTTTGCGGTGCTGTTAACGAACTCTCTTGCAAAGAACCTTAGGCATTTGCTAAATATAATACAGAGATCACAATAAATTGCGTTTTAATAACCCAACTGGTAACTTATAGCAATACATCTCAGGCATAAAAAGTGGTTTAAAAATAAAACCCCAATGCATACTGAATGAATAAGAGATTTTGCTTTACACTAGCATTTTGTTTGAAATAGTGGAAATGTATTGTACTCACATTTTGCTGGCAGGTGCTTAATAAAACAGACTGTCGTCACCAAGGATGCAGAGAGAGAGAGAGCGAGAGAGAGAGATAGAAAGATGAAGAGAGAGTCAAAAGCCAAACTGCTTATATTGACGATAAAAAACATACACAAGGGAAAAAAACCCTAAATTTCTCGTAATAAACTCTACATCATTGCAGTATATAATATCCCCCTGATGATGGAAGCATGAAGCGATGTCTAGACCGCGTCATCACAAAAAGTGTTGCATTACCGAAAGCGCCTCAGGCGACTAAAGCCTCGAAACACAAATCCAGTCTTCCGTATGAAGAGCTTCCTTCAGTTGTTCAAACTGGATGCGACTATATATCCTCCTGAGAGCATGTATTGGAAAATATATATATATATACGCAGTCAAGTGACGACTTAATTAAAATGACAGGCTTCAAATTTTGTTAGGCTGTTGAAATAGCAGTAAACCAAGAGACATTAGCATGATAAACGCTTCTCTAGAACGGTTTAAAACGACCTGGGCGAGGAAAAAAAATTGTCCTCCCGTCTCTGCATGAAAGTGTATGTATGCCTGAGTGAGAGAGAAGGGGAGGGGATGAGAGAGAGAGAGAGAGAGAGCGAGAGAGAGCACGAACACTTAAAGTGACTCTCTCTCTCTCTCTCACCCCTCCCACTCCTCGCGGTAACGTTAACGGGACAGCACTGCGGTGGTTGAGCATAATGTAGCTACACTTCCAACCCCCCTCACAGGCCTGGGATTTTAACTGTAAGAAAGGAGGAGAGGCACAAAAAATGGGTGTAGCCTATGCTTTAGAACAGGCCACCATCATCTCAGAAGTGATGCATTGAAGCATTCTGCTTGCATAAAGCATGATCTGCACAGTTAAACAAGCCACAGACAACTTTCAAGGGAATATGCTGGATTCGTTTATGGATGTGGCTAATGCAAGCATGCAAATCCTTCCGAGCTGTGACGTGAAATCTTTATCTTGAACGCAATATGCCTAAATAATCCTAACTAAATGGTAAAAGCTCTTTAGGCAGACATATAGGTTAGCATTAGTGTCGTTTTGGCTGCGTGAGCAGCAAAGGAAGCAGTGCAGCCAATAACAAAGCTCAGCAAAGTGCTACAGACAGTTCAGTCGCTGTGGTAACAGCATCACTGTAATGACTGCTGAGCTCACAGCAGCAATCAATGAGAGAAATATTCGGCCCTGTGCCCAAACTAAGAGCTGACCACTAATGACAAAACTGTGACTCAGACAATCAACAAGTTTAATGAGTTGGAAACAGAACAATCAAGGAAGTGCTGTTTTTTTTCCGGTATAGTGGATGAATCATTCTGTCATCAAATTAAACATTTCTCATATGAGAGTTTAGGTGAAGGTCTAATTTCTGGATATAAGATCCTGTAACCTAATGGACTGAAGAAAGCATTCAAAAATATTTTTGGGAAATTAACTCGTGACATGTCCATGAACATTAAGATTGCGGGTTAAAATAACTACCAATGTCACTGTTACCACAAATCACAATATTGCACAATATTAAGCAGCACAACTGCTTAATATTCACCATTAATAATAATAAGTATTTCTTGAGCAGCAAATCAGTTTTAAATTATAATAACATTTCACAATATTATGCTTTTTTAACAAAAAAGTCACTATTTTAAATAAATGTGTATAGTTCACTTAAAGTACAAATATTCAATGTGTTTTAAATTAAGAATTATGTGTAAAATAATTATACATGAAAAAAATTAATGTAGTGACTTAATTTCAGGCACTGGAATTTATGTAAACTACAAATTTACTGAAAACATTCTTCCTCTAATACAATGGTTTATAATTAATAAGTTAAGAGTAAGAAAACATACTTCATGCAAATAAGCTCAGAGAACGAGCAATGTTTTCACTAAAATAATTTATTTTCAGCTTGCCCATCTTAATATCTGTACACAATTTTTCATTTTCTGGTTTGAGACCATCTTTTCAACTTTCATTGATCTAGATATCAGATATCTAGAATCAGAACAATTTCATATTTGTAATAAATAGTAGTCTATTGCGCAAAAACATATAAACCAACGGCAGAGTTCAGAAGCCCTTTTCTAACATTGCCTCACAGAACCAACAAAATTTTGATCAACAACTTTGTTCCTGTGTTTTGAGGAATAAAATCCCCCTAATTCGCATTCTATTCATAACACACTGAGAAACATTCATTTTAAACATTCATTAAATTACAGTTCTCCTTTTTATATTAACCACTTAATTTAACATCATATTACAAACTAAGACTTTGGACCATGTTGAGCCCATGACCTTAGATTGTAATAAATGGCATAATATCACTTTGTTCTGTACACTGCAGATCACACGGACCTGCTTACATTCATGTTAATCAAAGCTACACTGCTGCATGAGTTGACATGGTCATTTACTGTAGGCTATGACTGAATAATCACAGAAGAAGCTCTGTTGTTTCCATGGTTGACATCTACAAGAAAATATCTACAACTATTACATGTTGCTGCTAATGAGAGTTAAGCAGACAGACATTATTAGTATTATTATGAAGCTTGTGAAGCAGATGTGCCAGTAAACGCCTCAGCAAGTGCCTTCAATTATATACAATAATACAATAAACTTTCAAAACCAGCCAGTCCAGACTTTTTAAAAATCCCCCAAGCACCTTGATATACAAATATGTTAGTTGAGCTTTTCCTTTACAGTTTGTTTAGCCAGTAATTATCAGTAAAGCACTGATAGCTTGATAAATATAGAAACAAAACACAAGATAAAGCAAACAAACGACAGGTATATCCAGCATGCTGACTCATAATTAGATTTATGAATGTTAAGTTTCTTCAGTAAGTGATTTGTTGGGATTACAATAAAAAAAAAAGAAACAAAAGTAAATCCAGTTAGTCCTTCAATTTAAACTGCTCTTTCGGACTCTGAAGTCTTGAATTGCTTTGGCTAAAATTGTGAAATAAATATTGAGATCCCTTTTATTCAAATAAATAAATAGATAAATAGCTTAGGAGAAGTTCAGATGGAGAGTGGAATAATGTGGAATACATCGCCCTCAGCAGCACTTAACATGTTCAGTCATCACTTATGCATAAGTGCATAATGACTCTCATATTGACTTTTTTGACCTAACTAACCGATTTGTTTTGGCTTTTTATTTACACTGACGTCACTTGCCATTTCTGTTTTTTTGAGCCAGATGCATTTTGAGAATGACCTTTGTAAACTGTTTTTGTAACCTGGCCCTCAAAGAGTGAATCTAATTAAATTCACTTAAGCATCTGTATTTGACTAATGTTAATGTTACTAACTGGCTAAAGACATTGACTGAGGCTAAGCGATCAGGTTACAGTGCATAATGACACAATGCTAAAGATTTAGACATCTTCAACCAAGAAACACAAATAACAAGGCCAATGATTAGTCATCTGGCCTTCACCCACGGCCCAAAATCACAGAATAAATAAGAAAATGAAAGCAGACACCCACACACTTCACTTCAGTGTGCACTTCACGCCAAAGTGTTGAGCACTAAATACTGGTCCCAAAATGATCTCCACTCAGAGCTGCAAAAAGTTGCCTGCAGGCCTATTTAAATATCACATCATATCGCTGGCATCACTGGGAGCTGATGCATAAACTGCTAAGTGCTTGTTCAAAAATTAATAACTTGCACTTATTATTTGAGTATACAAGGTTAAAAAAACCCCTATTGTTGTGGTTAATTGGGAAAAAAAAATTTAGGGGAAAAAAACAACTTGTAAAAAGTGCCTTGTGTTTGCTATACTATATATAAACTAGCAATTCTAATGTTAAATTCTTTTTAGTTAATTTAGTAAAATTCATATAGTTTCCTATGTAATTTTAAGTAAAACGTGATGATACAATGGTAATTCAGAAACATTTCAGGTGTTTCCTTAACTGTTTTCCTTCTCCATTCAAAATGTTGCAAACAAAACGTTTTTTTTCTTCCAATCATCAAACAAATGCCAGTTTCTTTTTGACATCATTTTCCAGGAAATTACATCATATTATAATGAGGTGCCTTCTTAACTAGAACATATTCTTTAAAGTCCTCATTTAAATATCTTCCTTAAATGACAAATTACAGCGTTCAAAAGGTACTACATAACAGGAATGACCCTGGTGTTTATCTGCATAAAATAAATAAAATGATGTAATCTAGAAAGAGTGATATCACATCCAGCCTCACATTTTTGGCCAGAATTAATATAATGCTACATGCTGGAAGGGCAAATAATGGATCTTTTTGACTATTAACGGTGTATTCCAATAGAGGGCACTAGTGAAACCACACATATTTACTTGCCTTTCAGAAGGTAACTATATAACCCATTTACTGTGGATTCTTGCTGCAGCATCACAGTCTCTGTTATGAAATGACAACCACCATACGTTTATAATTGCAGCTATTTCTGTGGTGCTGGAGGGATATAAATGCTCCTAAGCCTTTTTCCATGTGTGGTCCGGGACAGCAGAGTTCGACTGCAAGTCATAATACGGGTCAGTGCTGTCAGAATTTGCCGCAGTTGCTTTTTTCCTCTCCTTCTCCGCATTCTCTCCTTCCTCCACAGCACCCGAAACAAGAAGAGGGAATTTTCTGTGAAAGAAGGGAGATGCAATGAGTGATGACAGAGGGTGTGTTCCATTCAGAAATAAACATGTATATGGCTTCACTCTCCACAGAAAGAAACAAAAGGGTGAATGGGTCAAAAACAACATTAAGAATGCACTTTTATTTAATTGTTCACTTTTGTTATCCAAGCCTGCCACTGGCACAATCACACCTTCAGTTGCAGCTAATTTAAAATCTTTACACATCATTATTGCATCTCTAATAATCACTTTTAGAGTGCAAAACAAACAAACAAACACACACACACACACACACACGCGTGTGTGTGTGTGAGTTTTGTTTGTTTTGCATTCGAAAAGTGATATACATATGATATGATACATATGATACACACACACACACACATACACACACACACACACACACACACATGCCACCACTCTTAGTAGGAGAGCGCAATGGAATAAGCATCAGGTTTTATTTATTTATTTATTTATTTATTGTAAATAATTTTTATTTATTTATTCATATTTTGTATTGTTTAATTCACATTACATTTGGTGAAATTTATGATTGGTCAGGAATGAGAGATTCTGATGAAAAGCAACAATTTCCGGGAGAAAACAGTCCATTAATAGAGCACTACAAAAATGTTCAAGTCAAAACAGCCTTTTAAAGTAGTTATTTATGATCACTTCTGACCCGACTACATGACTATCATGATTAGTCTCTCTTCGAAGTCCTTGAGTGTGTGTGTGTGTGTGTACCTGTCTCCACTCTGAGTGATTAATCGTCTGCAGGTCTCCATCTGAACATCCAGGCCTCTTTTCATGCTGCACATCTCCATATACTCATGCAAATGCCTGTTCATATCCGACTTAGCAGTTGTCAACTCCAACTACATACAAAAACAACACAAACTTTAAAAGATCACGCAATATTGCCAAAACATCTCTCAATGTTGTTGGCCTTGCTTGATAAAAAAAAACTATTATGTGTTTGGTAGAGTAAAAAAAACATCATGTAGGTGTTTTGGCACAAGCAAAAACTCTTTACCTCAATTTGGTCAATGGTGTCTTGATATTCCTTTTCACGCGACTTGAAAAGGGACTCTGTGTCATTTATCACTTTCTCTATGGACTCCTCCTGCTGTGTGAGACAAAAGAAAACTGTTAAGTTTGAGATGTCTTGTAGCTCTTTCTCTACATAATGGAAATATTGTGCGGAGAGTGAGAGACATTCAGATGAAATATATCACTTCAGTTCAATTTCTTAAAGTTTTTTTCTCCTTCGTTTGCCTTTTATAGCAAAACTTATGAGACAACAAAAACCACCAAACTGTAATAGGTGTAGCATGAGCGCTTTCATATTATGCTTGTGTGACGGGCATTTTTTTTTTTTGTGTCGGCTCAAAAGATTTGGATAAGAAAACAAATAATAGTACAAAAATAAAGCAAATCAAAAAAAAGAAAAATGAGATGGAATAATGTATAAATCACAACCTTTTTTTCAAAGTAGCAGCGACACCAGAAGATAAAGTAGGCTTTTTACTACAATACTGTAGTTATTTTTCTTAAAGCAACCTGATGAGATTTGATGACTTGGTTTAATAAATAAATGCAATGTGAATGTAAACTTCAATTTTATATCGGATGTTTAAATGACTGTATGTTTAGTGACATAAATGCATGTTTGTTTTTTTCAGGTTTAACTGGATCCATTTTATACATAAATTCATCATGCCAATTTAATTTCCAAAGTCCATCACTGCAGCTGAAATCAATAAAAGACAAACGTACTTCTCCTTGGTTCTCAACACTGAAGGTGTATCCTGGAAAATCTTCCCAGAGTAACAGAGTTTCCTCAGTCTCTTCCCACGCAAGACTGTCACAGTCATCCTCAAACTCACACTCACGCCTGTGGCATAAGACCAAACAGTCATTATCGTAAATGATTAGAAACAGTCTGTATTCAAATCCAATTAAGTGTGTGATCTTCAAAATAACAACACAAACCAGAATGCATCAACACTATCATTTAAATCGACCATTTCTTTTCATTAGAAGTACTATTCATTTAGTCGCTGTGCATATCATCTTGCTAATTGAGAAGTAATTTATTATGCTTGAGTAAAACTGATTATCAGCGCTCATTATTCCACAGCATTCTCTGACATTTCAGACGTTCAATGGCGCTACTTACAATTGGTTGAGCATTCTCTGCATCTCCTCATTGATCTGATTGGCTGATGAGCAACAAAGCTCCACCTCCTTATTCCCACTCTCCTCACTTTCAGAGATGCTTGCTGGTTCATCGCTCTCATTCCCCCTGACTGTCTGTGCTGCTGGTTTTCGAGGACGGCGGGTCAAGGTTGACGGAGGTGTGGCTACTTGCTAGAAAACCAGAAATCATTCTGATTTATTTGAAGTCAAGCTTTTTTGTAACGCTATGAATGTCTTTACTGTCACTGATTATACTGATTGATTAATTAAAAATAATACTCTTATTGACACTCCAGTATTGAATACGAAATAAATTACATATGTGACCCTGGACCACGAAACCAGTCATAAGTAGCACGGGTATATTTGTAGCAATAGCCAACAATACATTGTATGGGTCAAATGGGTCGATTTTTCTTTTATGCCAAACATCATTGGGATATTAAGTAAAGAACATGTTCCATGAAGATATTTTGTAAATTTCCTACCGTAAATATATCAAAACGTAATTTTTGATTAGTAATATGCATTGCTAAGAACTTCATTTGGACTTTAAAAGCGATTTTCTTGATATTTTGATTTTTTTGCACTGTCAGATTCCAGTTATATCTCAGCCAAATATTGTCCTATCCTAACAAACCATACATCAATGTAAAGCTTATTTATTATTGTATAAATCTCAATTTCAAAAAACGAACCCTTATGACTGGTTTTGTGGTCCAGGGTCACATATAAAAATGTTATAAAATATGAAAAAAAAAATTAAAACCTTAAAAGTCTTTGAGAAAGGCAGGAAGTTACGAGTGGTAAACAAATATACAGAAACTAAGGCATAACTAATCTCCTAATATATTTCATGTAACTGCAAATGCAAACATTGATGATGAAAGACAAACCTGGAAGATCTGAATCATGTCTTCACAGTTTCTCTGCTGGGCTACATCACACAGACGAGCCGTGATGTCAATCCTGCGACAGATGTCCATGTCCACTTTCATGGCCTTCTCCTGAATCTTACTGTCCAAATCAGAGTGATTCTACAGGAGAGAGGATGTGAAAGAGAGTGGAAAGAAAGAACGAGAAAAACTGAAACAGGATCGATTACTCTGCTAAGTCATTTGTGGGACATCATTTGACTGGAATAAACAATATTGGCTAAATGAGGTATTTTTCAGGTCAGGTCACATGAATGTTGTCATTAACTCACATTGCTCATGAGGCCTTTAAACAGAACCAGCTCTGCTTTAAGCTGCTTAACCCTCAGAGCAAGTTCATCCTGACACACCTCGCTCTCCTGCAGGTCCTGAAACACACACACACACACACACACACACACACACACACACACACACACACACACGTGTCAACAGATGCAGTGTAGACAGTGGAAAAGGTCTTAAATTAATTTGAGTCTTATTTTAATTCATTTAAATACCTCTTCAAGCTCTGCAACTTTTTCCTGTAGATCCACCCGCATTGTGTATTCCTCTTCCCATCTAGAATAAATAATAAAACCAGAATTTAAATTTGTTCACCATTTCAATGTTTCTCTATTGTATTCCTAGGCATTGATCATTCATGAGACTATTAAAAAAACAGACTGTAATGAATTGTACTATGACTTATTATTATAATATCATCAAAAAATACAATACGTTGTTTATTTATTTTTATAAAAAAATATTTTAAAGGGGAAATGTGTAATTTCTGTGCCACTGGCATAACAAACAGAATTGACCTTAATGATGGTAAATGCCATATTTATTTTAATGTCCATTCAATGGGCTGTACTGTTGAAAACTTTGCCTTTGATCATTCAAGAAATATTAAAAAACTGATTGTAATGCTTCCTACAATGGCTTACATACACTTTTATATTTTATAAAATTAAATGTACTACATTTTACAAATAAATGTAATTTTATTAAATAGATAAATAAATATATACACTGTACTCTTGTACACAGTACTACAATACTTGTGTATACTTTGCATAAAAACCTGTAAATATATCATTAAATTAAATTAAATTAATTTAATTTAGGAATAAAATATGTATTTTGTAAAAAAATAAAAAAAAGCAAAATATTCACTCATAACTGAGTCTGTACAGCTTGATGAAACTCGACACTCCCACGCGTCATAAAAAAGCAACCACCAGCTAAGAGTGAGTGAATCTCAGCTAAAAATAGAGTCTGTCATGTAACATGATCTAACACTTTGGGCTGCTAGTACTCTACTCGTAGTAAATCATCATTTTTTTTTGTGCAGAAAGCATGATGTAATGTGTCACTAGACTGTACGCATAGGGGACGCACACTACAGCCTGAGACAGGAAATGCAGGACTGTTCACATTCACGCTCCTTCCATTTTAGGCCATTACTGCAGTATCACTGCAGGTGTTAGAGCGGGTGATTTATGTTAGTGTAACACTCAGATAACATCCACATAACCTTCTTCTTAACACACCAGTGAATTCCACAGCGATTCCACAGACCAGGTGCCATTGCATCACATATACAACTAAAACAAAGACAAAATATAACAGAGAAAACATACAACCAAGGGCTTTTTTTCAGAAATAAACCTAACTGTTGACATAAAAAGTGCTATTTTGGCTGGGATTCAGTGGCTTTGGCAGCTGGTAGTAGTCTGGGGAGTCTGAACAGGAAAGTAAGAGAGAGATTGTGAAATTATTCTCTATTGGCATCCTGGCAGTAGCAGCACTCAGTTCAGTACTGCATTGCAGATGCTGAGGTGCAGAGGGGAGGCGGCTGAAGTTGGAGTGAAATGGATGGAGAAATGAAGAGAGAGATTCATTGGGAGGAGGGGTTATACAGGGTATTAACATAACTTTGTGTTATTTTACTCATTAGTCATGTATTCTTCTAAAACCATGCAGAAAAGTATAATTTAATGCTAATAATATTTATTCATATGTGATAATATCAATGCATTAAATGAATACTTATTAAATAACATGATATATTTAGCATAAAAAATCATTAAAAAAACTTCTGTGTAACAATAAGAGAATTAGGTAGTATTCCAATACAAGCTTACAAGCTTACAGCCTCAAAAATGAAATAACTGTCTAGCTTTAACTGCTGAATGCAATGAAAACCACTACTATATTCAGCATTTTACTATATTCAAAATTGTTTGTCAATTAAGTAATAGGGGCATAGGGCAAAAATGCCACTGAAAATAACATATATATTTTGTTATGGTAATGACATGATGGTAATGAGGTTTTTCAGTTTTTAGAAAGAAAAAAGAAAATAAAACTGGATAAGCCCTGAACTTATACAATATGTTAGCTAATAGTCAGTTAAATGGATTGATTGTGAATTCAGTTTCTCTAAACATGTGTTTTAATGACACCTAACAAAGGTACTATAAAATAATTTTAAATTATGTTAACAAGCCCTAAATAAATAAATACATAAATATGCTGTGTTCTCGTAATGAAAGAATCATCAATCATCCATGTATAGATAGGTGGAGAGACAGACAGACAACAATAGATAGATAGATAGATAGATAGATAGCCTGGATGAATAGATATATAGATAGATAGACAGATAGTCTGGATGAATAGATAGATAGATAGATAGATGGATAGACAGATAGACAGACAGATAGCCTGGATGAATAAATATATAGATAGATAGATAGATAGATAAATAATATACTGACAAGAAACAGCTACTACGGAAGTTGCGAAGCCCGCAAATTGCTGTGTTAAGGTGTGCGTAAAAATTGCACTTTGAAGCTCTCCATTTACAAGAACATCACATTGCACTCATACTAACCTCCGTTTGTATTCGTCTCTCTCCCTCTTTACCTTGGCGAGCACATTGTACAGGGCCCGAATCTCTGGGGTGATGGTGTCGATCTGGACACCCACTCCGACTGGAGGCACCCTCGACGACACACCCGGACCCAGACCCGAGACCCGCCACTCACGCCCGGTGCTGAACCTCTGATTATACGACCACACAGTGTCAGGGTGAAATCTGGGTGGAGGGTTGCTGCTACAGCCGATACCAGTATTGACATACTTCACGTTAATATTGCTGAATGTTTTTGGAGCAGGATCAATCGGGCTGATGGGGAAATTTGGGGTGAGATTGGAATTAGAGTCCTTCAGATTGGATGGGTTCAGGTTTTCTATTGTTGTACTGTTATTGGACTCGAGAGGGAGGATGGTGTTATTGAGAGTCAGTGAAAGCAAGGCTCCGGACATATATGCGGTGTCGTTCGCGTTCTGAAGGGGTATCGAGTCGGGCCCGACAGGAATCAATCCAACAAAGCCGGTTTGAACTCCAACATCTCGCGTTAAAGGCCTTTTATTTTCTACACACTCCGCGCTCTCATCCAAAGCCTGTTGCAGCTGCTTTTCCAATACTTTATTCCTGCGTTCCAGCTCGTGTACTTTGGCTAAAAAGCAGCGGAAGCGCAAATTCAGAGTTTTGAGGACGCTGATGTTGGACCCCAGGTCGTTACGCAGGGCCGCGGCGGCAGGAGGAGGAGGTGGAGACACCCGGTGGAGATAGTTACCCAGGTGCAGATATGGTGTTCCCGGAGGGGGTAAAGCTCCTAGGTCCAACCCATCTTGCCCGATGCCACTCATGTGTTCGCTTAAGAAAAGGCCCGCTGGATCGGTCCAGTGGCCCGAAGACGCGGAGTCCGCGAAGCCCGTCACCTGGTTCTGCTGGAACGGATACACGTTCTCCCCCAATACAGGATTCATTCTGGAGTAGGAAAATCTGAAATGCTCAAAGTCCGGCATGAACACTGATTTAACCGTGTGCTTTCGAAGCCGATCCTCTGAAGTTAACAAAGCGAAGGAACACTTGTCCGATTAAGTGGGACCAAATGAATGAATCCGATCAAAACTCAAGCCTTTGATTATGACTGTGACAGTCTATAATGTTACACAAGGACGCATTACGCGTATTTGCATGCCATTTGTTATAACAGTACCTTACCAGACGTTGTTTATTATCTTAGAGGAGATTAAACGCGTCTTCGTAGCGGAACGGCCAAGCTCCGGCTCCAGAGCAGAAATAAACATTAAAGGAGAACTGCGGCTCCTTCATACCGTGATCGGTTAGTAGAAGCGCCTGACTCTTGCGCAGCGCGACACTTTGTTTATTTTAGCACAATTCAACGTGTTTAGTTTAATCGATGCTACGCAATAACACATTTAACACCAGGGATTGTGTTAGATTATATTCTATTGTGCAATATTTAAGCTCAACATTTTGAATGTGCGTTTGTGTTTCTGGGATTTACGGTAGTCAAGGTGTACCGTTACGTCACTGGATGTAATTTGGCGACAGCACCGTGATACAAAACGCGACTGAGCGTGAACAATCTGAACTGTAACAATATTATTTTTTCGACGTTTTATTGGTTTTGTACATCATCAAGATCAAATACCATGGCTATACATCTAAATAAGAATATTAAAGGAGTTGCAGGTTTTTACAGATAGACAGAGCAGTGTTCAATTTCCTTTTTAAAAATAATATTTTTGGCGGAAAATTTCCATTTATGAGAATAACATTTAGATAAAATAGCAAAACATTTACATATATATATTATATATATATATATATATATTTTTTTTTTTTTTTTCCATGCATACAGGTTTTTTAATCTGTAGACACCTTTGGCCCTGTGGACCTGTGGAAAAGATTAATAAATTTAGTAACTATTTTAAAACTATTTAAAAAAAAAATAGTTTCACCAAAATGCTATTTCCACAACATATTATGTATTGCATCTGGCAGTATTCTGTTGGTCAGATTAAAGGTGTATGGATTGGAATAAGATTTTGTCAGTTATTTTATGTCCCACAAAAAACGGACACAATTACATAATATTTCACATATTTTTCTATTTGCACAATATTCACAATTTTTGTACAATTTGTGATTTGAAATGACACACTATAAAAATACTCTGCTCACAAATTCCATTACCTTGATTTTTCAAGGTCACATGTCTCATATTTTATCTTAATTGTGCTTTCTTGACACTTTTGTCTTCTTAGTAACAAAGTACACTAATGTATGAGAGGAAAAGTACTTTTATAATGGATTTTCATAGTTTAAAACTGAAACTCTGGGTTTGTGACACAGGTAAAGATATGAAATCAAATTTTAATCAATGTTTAAAAAAGTTATAATTTTACAACAGAATATATCCAAAGCCCAATTATTAGTATCTATACAGTAAAGCTTTATCCATACAGCACAGTAAACACTGTTTACAAAGTGCTTTACAGCTGAATGGTAGAACAAGCAGGACTCAGATAAACGCAAACAGAGGACTTCATTGTGTGACACTGCAAGCTCCCCTTCATTAACATATGCATCTTTAACATGACATCACAGTGCTTTTTTTACCATTGAAAAACTATTATTCACAAAAAAGAAATCACATTAATAATTTGTCCAACTAAGTCAAAGGGCCTTTAAATATGAAAGCACATGCAATACATGTCTTTTTCTATTTATTGGGGGCACAGTTTACAGGTGGATCGGCCCATTGGGAATTATCTGTGCTCCAGATGGTCAGTCTGCTACTGCTTTCATGGAGCGACAGCTGGTTTCCTTACCTTCTTAACCTCCTCGCACTCATCTAATTAGTGTAGAAAGGGGTCAGTCGGTAAATAAAAGAGCATTACGACAAACAAGTTGCCAAAAGCCATATTTTTGCTGTTAGGACAAAACAAAAGAATGAAGTTATTGTCTTCTGTGTGCTCTATGATAGAAGAAACTTTTCTTCTATCATAGAGCACATAGAAGAGAGACTGTCCACAGTGACTCATCACAGCTAGTTCTACACATAATGAGATGCTGTGGAAAGTGAGCTGAGATTATAAGAGGGGAGATGAAGGGATGATTACAGGCTTTTGCAGGTCCACTGGCAGCTCCATGACAGACACATCAGGCACTGAAATGTGAAATGCCAAGAAAACCAAGTGTCAGATTATATTTAAGCAAACAACCAGAAGTTGAACATGTATAATCACTATAATGGAAAGTGAACAGCACTTGCTGAATGTGATCACAAGACAGTAATGTCTGTTGCTTGACTAAGTTTTGAAATATAGCCATATACGTGAAACATAAATGAATTTCAGTCACTTCAACATGATTCACTGGATGTGATATATCTATTTACACTACCGGCAATATAGAGTATATAACAATATTGTGAAATATTATTACAATTTAAAATATGTTATTTTAAGATATTTAAAATGTAATTTATTCCTGTGATGACAAAGCTGAACTTCAGTCATTACCCCATGTCACAATTCTGCCATCATTCTGATTTGCTGCTCAATTATTACTATTAATGAAATTACAGGTGCATCTCAATAGAGTAGAATGTCGTGGAAAAGTTCATTTATTTAAGTAATTCAGCTCAAATTGTGAAACTCGTGTATTAAATAAATTCAGTGCACACAGACTGAAGTAGTTTAAGTCTTTGGTTCTTTTAATTGTGATGATTTTGGCTCACATTTAACAAAAACCCACCAATTCACTATCTCAACAAATTAGAATATGGTGACATGCCAATCAGCTAATCAACTCAAAACACCTGCAAAGGTTTCCTGAGCCTTCAAAATGGTCTCTCAGTTTGGTTCACTAGGCTACACAATCATGGGGAAGACTGCTGATCTGACAGTTGTCCAGAAGACAATCGTTGACACCCTTCGCAAGGAGGGTAAGCCACCAGTGTTGCCAATTTAGCTACTTTGTAGCTAGATTTAGCGACTTCCCCGTGAGACTTTTTTCAAAAGTTTAGGGACAAATATAGCAACTGCTTGGACAAACCTTATCTAAGTTCTCATCTTGCCCACTGATCTACGTTCATCTTTATATAGATCAGTGAATTTGCCATTGTGATGTCATCTAGTGACATTTAGCTACCAGTTTTAGCTACTTTCAATTGAAAGCAGTTGGCAACACTGT